TGCATTTATCTAGGGCTTGGGAACAGTGGCAGGGCTCCCTGGAGCCACCTGTGCTGGTGTCTCCTCTCCCTCTTACCCTGACCTCGGCTGGTCCCGTCCTGGGCCACACAGGCCCTTCCTTAGGGGCGGGGGTGGGGGCAGAGGGTTCCTTTAGCTCCTTCCTGCCCTACTCATTATCTCCTGCTGAGGCCATTGAGGGAGTGCATCTTGCAGGGCTGCCTGGGGGACGGCTTCCTCTTCAGCCAGCCTTTGGGGCTGTTCCCGTCCACATGCACTCAAGCCATGCAGCACAGACACAGACACACACACATTTTCACATGCCTGCAAGGAACACATTTGCACACACGCGTGCACACTCACACACACGCTCACACCCCACATGTATTTACACACCCACAAGTGCCAACAGACCCACAAGCAGGATCACACCCCCTCCTGCACACAAGCAGCTGGCAGCTCACATCGCCCCAGACCTCGACGGTTGTCACGGAAATCAGAGATTCTCTGGCTACTGTCCTTCCCACTGTCCCTTCTGGCCTATGTGGGGAGCCAGGCCACTGGAGGGGCTGCTGAGGGACAGCTGGCACCCAGGGCAGGGCCCATACCCATGGGCACCAACTGCCAGGGTGAAGGGACCTTGGTGGGGGAAGGCACAGGTACCTGGGATGCGGCGTGAGTTCCTGTGGCCCAGGACCTGCTGGCCCGTCACGTGTGTGCTCCCACATGCATGTACATGGGTACACACCCAGCTACTCACAGACAATGGCACCGCCTGGCTGGTGGCCAAGATCCGCGTGGGCGAAGGCGCCCACACAGCCCACAACACAAAAGCTCTTTCTTGGAACCGGCCGGCGTCGTCATCCTGCAAGCACAGGGACCCTGCACAGTGATGGGGGCGAGGGCTGGGGCCTGGGTGGTCGAGGGCAGGTGTGTCTCAGTGGTCTCTGGGTCTGGTGCATGCCCTGCCACCTGAGGGGACCACGGTGGAGGAAGCTGGCGTTTGCGCAGTGCGCACAGGGCACTGTGTCTGCATTGTGCGGGTGTGGGTGCCCAGCAGCCGGCATCACAGGTGTGGGGATGCGTCGTTACAGCCCGCTGCCACCTCCTGATGGGCACCCAGCTTCCCACCAGGAAGGCCACCGCCACCTGCCTTCCACATGGCTTCCCAGAGGAGTCCATGTCCTGCTTGGTTCCCATCTGGTGAGGGAGCGGACCCTGAAGTTGGCCAGAAGCATGGCTGGACTTTTAGAGCGCATTAGTTTCCCGTTTCTCTCCTATCAAGTTACTACACATTCAGTGGCTTAAAATAGACACTTGTGTGACCTTGCAGTCTGCAGGCTGGACCTGGGCCCCCCTGGTCAAGGCGTCAGCTGGGCTGGCTTCTGCGGGTGCTGGGGAGAATCCACCTCCCCGACTTTTCCGGCTGTCAGTGGCCACCTGCGCTCCTCGGTGCTCTGCCCTATGATGCCGCTCTACCCTCTCCTGTCTTCTTCCACTTGGAAGAACTGTGATCACTGATCCTCCCCCGAACAACCCTGGAGAATCCCACCTCAGGGAGTTCACCTGAGTCCCACCTGCAAAGTCCCTTTGCCTTGCAAGGTGACGTGCCCCTAGAGGTCACGAGGTCACGGCTCACAGAGCAGGCAGCGGGGTCCGAGGTCAGGATGCGGATTTCGGGTCTGCCCACCTCTCGGTCTTAAGGAGACAGAGAGCCCTGGAGGCCTCCACACCCTTACCTTTCCACTTAAATAATGTGCATCCTGACATTATTACCCAAACATTCTATTTCAATGAACATTTCAGCAAGGGGTAACATCCATAGTGTGTTACCCCTTGGGATTGACACCCATGCAATTGTTTTTGACAGCACCGGGTTTGAACTGGGAGCTTCACACATCCCCAGCCCCCATCCTTTAGTTTGAGTCAACGTTTTACTAAGTCTCTGAGTTGCCCAGGCTGAGCTCAGTTGTAGTCCCCCTGCTTCACCCTCCCAGGGTGCTGGGATTATGGGCGAGCATCACTGTGCCCAGCCCAGCACACACCTCAAAGGTCTGGCTGAGTGTTTCCCACAGCATCCCAGAGGCCCCTCTGTATCTTCCTGGTATCCAAGGTAACTGCTGGTATGTTTCTCTCCCTGCATGTCCCTGTGCTTAGGTTCCATGAGTCAGATGGCCCTCCGCTTGACCTGACTTCCTTCAGACTCCAGGTCTGGGCCTGAAGGCTGCTTCCCATGGTGCTGTCTGACCCTCTCCCCTCTGCGTGGTATCAGATGCCCACACAGGAGCTCCAGGACCTTGCAGAGGGGACTGCCATCTTCTCTACCACCCTGCCCAGTCGCCACGGCCATGGATTAGCTGTCGTACCACGTGCGGACCCTGCAGACTCTGTGCTGCGTCTGAAGATCCAGCCACCGTGTAGCGAGGTCCTGCAGACACAGTTGGTCCAGGATGGTGTCTCAGGTGGGTCCTGCCCTCTGTCGTCAGGATCTTTTGTAGATGGGACCATGCGGTCCGTCTTCCTTGGTGTCTGGCTTCTCTCCAGCGTGGTGTCCGAGAGACTCACTCACCCAAGCTCTCCTGGAGCAAGAGTCCCTTCTGTTGGTGTCTGTGTGATGTCCCTTTGTATGACCTTACAGTTCACCTGTGTGTGTCACTGTGCTAGGTGTTCGGGAAGCTCTCTGGGTACTGTGAATACCACCGTCAGTGAACGTCCCGTGTCTGTCTCTGGGTGACCATGAATGCAGATGTCAGTTCCAGCCTGTGCCACCAGGCCCGTTACAGAGCGCCCCTCAGTGCCCCCATCCAGGGGCGAGGGTGAGTTCACTGCTCTGAGTTCTCACCGGCACTTGCTATGGTGAAGTCTTTTCCATGGCATCACCCTGGTGGTGTGCTCTGTTCTCCATGGCCCCTGGAGAGGAACTTCTCTTGGAAGGGATTTGCCTGAAGGGTTTCACTTGATACTGTGACCCCCAGAGTCCCCCGCTCCTGGTGTCTCCCCTCCTTGTCACCCTCCTGTGTCCCTCTCTGAGCCTCCCATCTCCGCTCCCCACTGGCCTCCTAATTCTGCATCTGGGCCACTCTGCCCCTCTCTAGTGCCTCCCACCAATTTTACTGAGATCTGTACGCCCCACTCCCCAGCTGGACTTTGCAACAAGCTGGGTGACACTGTTTCACTCTTTCACTTTTCACTCTTTCAAGGGAGCTCTGTCAATGCATTTTAACTTAAAAGGGTAAAGGAAAGCGATGTGAGCACAGGTTCCTGGGCCACCAGCACTGCAGTCTGGGCCTTGAGGCCAGCTGAGACCTTGCCATGTGTCCTCCGTGTGGCCCGCCTGGCTTTTCTGTGCATGTGTGCTCTGTGACTGTCCTAATGCACATGCTTCTGGTGTCTTCTGGCTGCTGGTGTTGTTGGGAGCCATGCTCCCGGCCCTGTAACTTCTACCTTTCTTGCAGCCCAGCACACCTCAGTTCAGGTGGTGCCTCCTACAGGAAGCCTTCCAGATAGCCCAGGTGAACAGCAACTCCTTCCTCCCGGGAAGAGCTGGGACACTGTGGGGGCCCTTCTGGAGGAGAGTTCGGAAACAATCCTTTTGCAGTAACCCCTGATGCCCTTTGGCCTCACCACTGTTTGGGCCACTGGGCACACAGGGAGGGGACAGCGGGGGGCTCTGGAGGTTTGGAGCTGAAGAGTTTGGGCCAAGGACGGTATAAGGTGTGTGAGGCCATGGAGAGGGTGGGAGCCAAGGCTGGGTGAGGAGCTCCTCACAGAGCTGGCCCAGACATGCTGCTTGAGCCTGGGTGTGTGCTCAGAGCAGGGTACCTGTGGGCTTGGCTGCCTGTTTCCTTCCCACCTGACAGGAGGCTCTTTGGGGCTTGGTCTAGGGCTCATTCACCCTGCCTGTCCCCGTAGGGCTCTGTACAGGGTCCAGTCGGGAGTCGGAGCGTGACGGAGTTCACCCAGACAGATCTGAGCTGAGGAGAGAGGTCCCTTCTGGGGACCTCACAGGCCCTCCCGACTTTGCCTGGATACTGTCTGAGTGCAGGGCCAGTGCTAGAGCCCAGGGACCAAGGGGCGGCGGAGGAGGAAACCTCAGGGGAGGGAACCCGCCCAGAGCCCAGCCTCGGATTGTGTTTCTTGGGATGAGAAGGGGCTGCAAATGTGTCCCCAACTGAGAGGTGAGCATGGGCCAGAACCTGTTAGCTGCTGTGGGGTAGTGGGGCTCAGTTAGCAGCCACTTCATACCTGCAACTAAAGCAGGAGGAAAGGGAACTGGACTCCCAGGGGAGTGGGCCAGGGGCAGAGGGGCTGGGTGATCTGAGGTGCTGCCTGGGGAGGCTGGGTCTGAGCTGGCGGCCCCCACTTTCCTTCCTTCTCCTCGTATCCCACCCGCCTGCACCTGGACCAAGGTCACCTCCGTCACTAGGTCCAATCACCAACAGCCCACAGCTTAGTTCAGGTTACTGTGTGTTGGCCACAGGGTGCCAGCTGCATCCACGTGGGGGCCCTCTGCCCGCTCTGCCCTTGGGGACACTTCTGTCGCCTGCTCCTTCCAGCTGCTCTGACAGGGCTCTACTGTGACCCCTCCCCACCTTGGGCCCCCTCTGCCTGCTCATCCAATGCAGTGACGCTGTGGGGGAAGGCGACACCCTCGTTTCCACAGTCTCTCATGGAGCCCCTCGCGCCAGGGCCACTGGATCGAACCTCCACCTGCAGGGGACCCGCCTCCCATGAGACCTGGTAAGAGGCCATGGTGTGGGGTGCCTGTCCTCCATCTGTACGGCCCCCTGGGAGTAGCTGCCTTTGTCACCCCAGACTTACAAATGGGGAAACTGAGGCCTGGAGACATACTGTGAGCGGCTATAGCCACTAAGCCAGGAGAAAGTGGTGGGACCCGAACCCAGCCTGGGTGGCAGTGGCTCCCGGACCAGGCACAGCTCCTGGGTACCTGCAGACACTCGTGTGAGCAAGAACTGGAGAAGATCTTATTTATTTTTCCCGGCAAGGCATCTTTTTCTTGCGGCTGCTTTTTAATTTCCTGCTTTCTCTAAGGAAGCCTGTGGGCTGTCATCCCAGAATGTCCCCTCAGCCAGGGACAGTGGCTTGACTGTCCACTCTCCACTCCCACAGGCGAGCTTCTCTCTTTGGAGCCAGCCCCAGGCGGCTGCTGTCCAGCAGGATGGGCCCCGCCAAGCCAAGCGCTCCTTCTCCACAATGGGAAGCAGATTGCCCATTAGAAGGCAGATCTTTATTTCAAAAGGTTGAATAGGCTGCAACTTAAAAAGGGTTTCCAGCTGGCTAAATTTAGGGCAAGGGACAAGGTCCAACCCGAGGAAGCTTGCTGGCCCTGTGCCGGCCGCGACAGCCTCTTGATGGGGAGCGGATGTGCTCCGCCTCAGCGCCTGCCTCTTGGTATTTTTCCCCTTTTGAGTTCAGCAGATAAATGCTGATGGTGTGTTGGCCGAGCGGCAGAGCCGTGCTTACTTAAAATAGTCTGTTCCAGCGGGGTGGTTGCCAGTCCCGGGTGGCTTTGTCCCAGGGACGCCCGGGGAGGCCTTGGCGGCTGCAGGCTCTTTGGAGCCCTGGCCAGTCCCCGACAGAGTCGGGCCGGGTCGGGAAGCGCCCTGGGCTTGGGGAGCCACTCCTGGAAGGCGCCTGGTTCCTGAGGGCCTTTCTTCCCGGTGTGACAGCGAGGGTGCCGTCTCCAAGGTGGTGGCACTGTGGCAAGCGGGCCTCTGCAGAAGGTCCAGACCAGGCCAGCTCGGAAGCGCAGCCAGGAGCCGGGCCCTTGACAACCCGGACCGGAAGGAAAGCACGCAGCACGCAGCACGCAGCCCCCGCCCGTGTGCGCGCCTGTGCGTGCTCAGCTACGGGGCTGTATGTGCCGCAAGGGGACTCGGGATTGAGGGTCTCACCTCGGGAGTGACGCGGGAGTGGAATCTGGCTGGGGTGCTGTGTACATGAAGTCCAGCGTGGCTAGGGCCTGAGGGCTTCTCCCGCCTTCTCCCCCCACAGGCTGCTGAGGCCTGGAGAAGCGCCGCGGGGCAGCCACCTCCTCCCTGGGCCCGCTCCCCTGTCCCGTTCCTGGGTGGGAAACAGCAGCTCCTCCCCCTCCCGTCTCAGCGCCTGGCCCACCACAGACTTCGCGGCGCGTGTGGAGCTCCGCAGGACGCAGCATGGGAGCTGCACCCAGACCCCACTCAAGGTGCGTGGGGACCCTGGGCCTCTAGCTGGAGATCCAGCCGGCTCTGAAAGCAGGGCGTGAGGACCCCAGGCTGCGGGGCATCGGGGGGCGTGTCTGGTCATCTGCGGGACCACCCGTGGCCCCCTGTCCTCGGTGGAGGTTTCCCACAAGGTCTCAGGTGTCCCAGCCCATCCTTGTGCGGAGCCAGGGAAGGAGGAGGCTGTGGGAGTTGAAGTTCAAAGGTCAAGGGTCACACCGACGTTACCATGGTGGAGGTGGGGCTGGGCTGTATGGGCAGGAGTAGGGTTTTCCTTTGGGAGAACAGCTCAGGCTGTCAGCTTCAGGGCCCTGCGCTGGGAAGAGGACCCGTGGCCACGGTCCTCGGGCCCAGGGGTGTAGCACTTGGACCATCGATGCACCATGGTGGAAACCTCAAGTGGGAATTCAGTAGTGCGGCTTTAGAATATGATCCTAACGAGCAGGCTCTTCATGGAGGTGGTGAGCTGCCTGCGTGGCTTCTCCTGAGAGCTTGGGAGTCTCTTCCTCCTGACACCAGCTGTGCCCCACTGTGTCTTTCGAAAGGACGGAGAATCCCCCCGGTACTGGCTGTGTTCCCAGCTCTGTTCGCCTTCCTGGAGTTAGTCTCGGGCCCAGGGGAGGGCTCAGTCCTGCGGGAGGGGATCCTTCTACATGACAGCAGCAAGTATGGATCCCCTGCCTCTGGCTGGCCAGCAAGTGCCGGCCCCCACGCCCTCCTCTTCGGGTGTGGCTCTCTGGGGGAGCGACCGTCAGACCTTGGAAAGGTGCTCTGCTTGGTGTGTGCTAAAGGGACGCGGTGAGCAGAGGCCAGAGAGGTACACGAGAGGACAGTCTTCTGTCCCAGAGGACCAGTGGTGGCCATTTGGCAGTCTTTATGGTGCTATCATGGTGTGGGTGACACTTGAATCAGAGGTGTTGACCGGTGACTCAGGCCGCAGTTCCTGTCCCCTCCTGGAGGTGGGGTGTCTCAGCTGGGTTTTTGGGGACCAGCCCCCTCCCGGAGATACTGAGGCCCTGCCAGTATTTGCCTTCTCTTTGGGGCCTCTGATGGCCGGGTCGGTGAGAGGCTGACTGTGCCTGGCCTGTGGTCGTGTGGGTGTCCTTGTGATGCACAGTGTCACGATGTGGGCACGGCAGGCATGATTTCCTTCCTTCCCCGGTCTCCTCATTGTCCCAGCTCGGTCCTGCCCTCCCTCAGGTCTCTCTCCCCTCTTTCTGGTGGAATCTGTCTTCGAGTTTGAGCTTCTTCCCTCTCTGTTCTCTTCTTCTCCCTCTCCCCTTCCCCACTGTCCCTCTCTCCCTGTTCTCCCCCGCTGCCTCCCTGACTCACATGCTGCAGATCTCTGCTTAGCTCTGATGGTTAATCTTGCTTGTCAGTGTGATTGGCCTAGGAGAGCTGCTGGTGTGTGTGTGGGTGGGTCACGGGGGTGTGACCTTGTTGGGGACCAGGTCTGGCCCCAGCCCCTTCCTCTCTAGCTCTTCCTCCGTCCTCTGCTTCCTAGCTGCCATGAGGTGAGCAGCTTTCCTCTGCCAGGTCCTTCTGTTGTGATGTTTTTGTCTTGGGGCCGACTAATTATGGACTGAATCCTCCGAGACCATGAGCCAAAATAAACCTCTCCTCTTTTAAGTTGTGGGTGTCAGGTATTTTGTCCCAGAAATGGGAAATTGACCAATACTTACTCTGTTTAACTTTGGGTCTGCATCACTGAGGACATTTGAATCCTGTAAGCAGGATTCTTCCATACGTGGGTCTCTGTGATGACCCCTTGGGGTTCATACCTTCAGTTGCACAGGCTCAGATATCTCCTGTTCACCAAAGCCTGGGCAACTTTGATCTGAGGGTGGCTGGATTCCTGAGAGGGTCGTAGTCCCACTGTCATCAGCCAGCCAGTCAGAGGCTGCAGAGGTGGAGGCAGACCCAAGTTTTCTGCTTTTCTACTATCGGAAGGAAGCCCACCTCCCTCTCAGGAAACCAGAAGCCCATCTGAGCCTACTCTGTGCCCCCTCGGTGGCGCCTGTCCCCAAGGGCTAACACCAGCTTGCTGCTTTCAGCCCGAGTGGCTTGCTGAGCCACATCCCCTCTACCAGGGGTGCTGGCTTGTGGGGCTCTGTTTTCTGCCGTCTCCAATCCCAATCCTGGTGCAGGAGGGCACCTGGGAGGGCTGAGACTCGTAGGTCCCAGTTTGGTGGGACTTTCCTGGTTTGAGCACAGATGATTATGCATCTCATAGAGCCCTTGGTCCTGGGCACAGGGAGGGCCGGTCACTCATCGTAGAGCCATACAAACAGTCATTCATTCATTCATCTTGCATTTCACCTTGCTTCGGTGCCTAACACCTTCAGTGTACCTCTGTGTGTTCTGCTGTGAAGACCCCACCTTCCTGCCACTTCCTCAGTCTTAGTTCCTGGAGCCTCAAAGCCTGTGGCCAGGGTATGTCTGACGCACCTTCTCTGCTTCAAGTCAAGACAGTGAGGCCTGCCTGGCCCCAGCTGTCCTACAGGGGTGAAGCAAAGCCACCTTCTCACTTGCCAGGCATCCTCTTCCTGGTTCTTAACCAGGACTTTTAATTTTGGCTGAGTTCATAGCCAGCTGCCTGCTTAGAAGAGCCTGGCAGCGGTGAGCCTGCGTGTGTGTGGGTGGTGGTGGTGGTGGTAGAGAAGCACAGGAGTCCCAGGCAAGGGGATTCTCTGCAGAGGCCATGAGATTGCTGGTGTCTTTGCCTGTCTAGGTATCCAAGGCAACCAGCGCTTCAATGCCCCCTCGGCTGGTGGGGGAAGACCACTCCCTTGCTGAGCTAGGGGACAGGGTAGGTGTCCTGGGGTAAATCTGACCTTTCTGCATAATGAAGAGAAAGCCATGTTGGCAGGGAGCTTCCCTTGAGTTCAAAGGCACAACTTCATTCATTTGCTTATAAAACATCCCCAGGAGGTTCTGTGTTCCAGGAACCAGGCTAAGGGTTGTACAGGTTAAACAGGACCATGCCAGGCCACCAACAGCAGGAGTTGGAAATCCAGGTGAGGCCACAGGATGAGTGGGTGCAGTACATTGGCCGAGTCAGGCTCCCGGAGGCTGCTCGTGAGATACAAATTCAGAGTCAGGAGACTACAGCTCAGGACAGTAGGCCTCAGGCAGCAGCTACAATGGCAGAAACACACACAGGCAAGAAGCAGGCCTGAGCCCAGCAAGGCTGGGTCCAAGTCCCCTGCAGTGCAGCCAGAAGCAGAGGCCTCTTCACAGCCTGCCTGCAGACTCATCAGCATGAGGATGAATACTCTCCCAGCCCATCGTGTTACACAGCATTGTGTCACGGTAGCTGACCGATACACTGGGTCCAGAGGTGGGCGGGGTTGCGAAGTTGATGTAGAGGAGAGAGCTGAGAGTATTTAAGGGGATGGGGCTGTTGTGTACAAAGGGAGAGGAGAGGAGAGGGTGTGGGAATGGAGGGTAGGCTGGAGAGGGTTGGAAGAGGGGCTGGCGAGGCCTTTGCAGCCTGGTTCCAGAGGAGAGGACCTGCCTCAGTGCATGGCAGAGGGATCCCACAGGACCTGCTGCCTGCTTCTAGTGCCCTGCTGTCACTCGGTCCCAGTTGCCAGGCCCAAGGCTTCTTTCCGAAGCCCAGCCTTGGGATTCCCTGTCGCCACTGCCTCCCAGGTCCCCAGGGCACAGGGCTGAGCAGGGCACAGGTGTGCAGTTGGAACTTGGGGGAGGAAAGTGGGGTGCACAAGGGGCTTTTGAGCATGGACTTTGGAGTTGTGAAGAGAAGGGCCAGAAGGCCGGCTGAGGTGACAGTGATGACCAGAGAGGACGAGGCCAGGGTTGGAGCAGGAAGGGCACAGCGTCTCCATCACTGGTTCCCAAGACTCCTGAGCCCACCCACGCATCATTCATCCAGCAAAAGCAACAGTTGGCCTGGCCAAAAGCTCCCAAATGCACACAGTGCTGGCCCACTGCAGTGTGAGTCCGGACTCATGAGTTGTGGGTGCATCCTGGGCAGCCTGCGGCAGTGGCGCTGGCTGTGGGGCGGGTGCTGGGACCTCTCTGTGGAACCGGAGGGTGGCAGGAACACCGTCCTCTGCTGGGACTCCCAGGCCGCTGCTGGCACCTGCCAGGGAGAAAAGGATGCACGTTCTTTCTCCCTACCCCATTTAAATATTAGCTATAGATTAACCGCACTACAAGCAAAACAAAATGAGGAACCAACACAGCCTGGATTGGGTGCCTTTTAATTATTATTATTTGTACCACTAAACCTGTCATTAGCAAAGGTGCCCCCCACAGGCTTCTGGGTAGCTGGGCCATTGTTTCCATCTACTGGTCCACAGGAGATGCTGACTGCAGGCCAGGCACGGCTGGATACCTTGTCAGCTTTCAGGTGGAGGAGAGGACTTTGCTGAACTCCCGTGGTCCATGCTCTGGCTTTCTAGGGTACTGGGTAGGAGGAGGAGTAAGGGAGCTCTGGCCAGAGAACTGATCCCAGCAGCCCTGTCGTCCCCTCCCCATGACCAGCCGAGGCATGGAAGGTGCAAAAGGCTGGCTCCTAGAGCGGGACAGGCGCTGGCATGGGACCAGGCCACCTCCTGCTGAGACTGAACTTTGCTGAGCCTTCCTGTGCTCACGTGGGGTCCTTCCTCCCCTCTCCTGGGATCCTGCCCTTGAAAGTCCCGCAGCTCGAGAACCCCCAACTTGGCCCCTTCTGGGCCCCTGAAGTGTACCCCTCTGCAGTTAGTCCTTGTGAAAGTTCCCAAGCCTGCCTGGCGGTGCCCCAGACAATGGAAATTGTCATTTGTTGGGAGAGCAGGAGAACAACAGGTGAGGAGGTCTCTGAGGTGTCTGAGATATTGAACAGGTGGATGGCTGCAGAGACCAGTTACAACCCGTAAGATGTCTTGCCAACCCCCCTGTGTGGGTGAGATGCACAGCTGGGGTCCTTCGCATGGCTTGTGACTGCTCCTCTCCCTCCCAGGATCCAGCGTGACAGAAG